CATTTATAATTAAAACATTTTCTAATTAAAAGAAAGTGGTCTACCATGAATTCTAATTGTTTATACGATGCTGTCTAAAAACGATAGCGTTGTCTTTCAAGTTTAAATAATAATTTATTTTGAGTAAAGGTAACATTGAAAGTCATCCCGCAACCCACTTGCAATCTTATATCTAAAACATATATATACCAAATTGTGGGATAAATTGAAGTATTTTGAATTACATTTTTTTTTTTACTTTAGGGGGTGAGAAAAAAACAAAAACTGTCGAAATTTTGAAATATCATCTACTGCCACCACCTACTAGTATGTTTGTTCACCCTTTAAAAAGTGGTCCTCACAGGAGTTTGATAGATTCAGTAGGCTGTATTTGGAGCGATGAAACCTGTAGACTGTGATCCCTCAACAGGCCCAGTTGTTAAGTATGGGACCCTCACTTTTTTCAGTCGTGAAATAAAAATCTGCTGAAACTAGTCTGCTGGTGTTTCTTTTCAAAATCTGTGAAGACTTTGAAGGTTATGTAGTGTGTCACTAGCTTTACACATTATTGGATCAAATTAAAATAGTTAATGTCATACTGGAATGTCATATTTTATCTACAGAAAAAGCTAACTTATGATTGCCAGTATCTCTAGCTATAATTTGTCATCTAGTGTTAAAGTAGCAGATTAATTGCAAACATAAAAATTAGCATTTTTCTAAATGCTATATAATTTTTTACAGATAATTTCAGATGTAATAGTAATAATTACAAGTGTATTACTGGCATAATTAGCTAAATGGTCTATTTATGCATTCAGAGCCACAAATTAGGATCGGGCCTGGCTAATTATGGATACCATCTAATATTTATGATTCTTTTCACCTTTTTTCGTATTTAAATCTGTTATGGGAGCTATAAAAAAGCAACATCTAGTGTGACTTACAGAAGCAGAGTTCAGACCGAGCAAGAGAGCTTTGAATAAATCTCATCTCAATGATAAAAATAAACATATAGATGCAAATTAGGTTTAAATACTATCAGTAGTTTACAATATTCAATGATTTAGCATTAACCATTTATCAACTCCTTCAACAAATCCCTTCATTAATTTTTTGACTAATAGACAAAATGTTGCAACTCTGGTTTAATTAATGTGCTTTACACACACCATGTGTCTGTGCCTAACAATTCCTTTAAATGCCAGCTGAAGCTAACAGCTACTACCAATGCATATAATGACGCAGATGATATTAAACTGACAAATTCTGCTCCACAAAAAAGGCTATTGGGTACAGCAGGGTCAAAGAGGCCTATTCAGATTCATTACTTGTTCGCCTGAAATGGCACCAAGTCTGTTCCTACCATTCATTAGTGATTAGCACACCTTTTAGCCTTTTACAACTGCCTCCATAATTCTTGAGAAATACCTTTTTAATGGTCCCCCTCCAACAGGGAGACGTTTTCTCTCCTACCCATTTCCTGCAGACATGCAGTTAGCTGCTCAGTGAGTCATGATCAAATGTCACCAAGACACAGAGGACGGTTGGCCCTGAGAAAGACGACCACAGCCAATTAAAAGCCTCTGGCTCACCATAAAATGCAGAGTGACATAAACATTAAAGCCAAGGTGGTAGTGTAACCTCATTAACTTGGTCACACAATGTTTCAGTTCATTTTTCTCTTTGGCCTGATCGCATGACAGCAAGAAACACTTTCTACCATGAAGTAGCATGAAGTCTGCGGTAATGATGACCTGACCACCTCTTCTGAAAGCACCCTTGAAAATGTGTAATTTGCACAGATCTTTTGTCAAATTAATGTCTTCATTTGGTGGAATTTGACTTTCTGTCTCTAGAGAGATCAGACAGCATTAGCAGATTCAATTCAAGGTTATTTTTGTTCCACTGCTAAAAAAAAGGCCCCACATTTAAAGATGGTTTTTTAAGATCACTACAAGGAAAATAAAAAACTGGGGTTTTAGCTGATCATGCATGTTGTGTTCTCTTTGCTTTAAAAACATACATATACTAGGGCTACTTCTACCTTTGCAAAAACCATTGCAGTTTTTTCATTAAAATGCTGAGATTCAACACAGATATTAATAATGTGTAGGTGCCAAGTCAGCTTATGTGCTTTTATACAGGTTTGGAGACCCTACTGAGACCTAGCAGGCTGTTTGTTTAAATAAGGTTTTGTCTATAGCTTTGTCTCTACCCTACACCTTATCTTTTCATACATTGAACCTTTATGAATTTAGTAAAAAACTGATACTATATTTTTAGTACAAATAGATAGAGTAATATGTCAGCATTTAGAGTAGAATTGCCAGTAATATGCTCCAAATGGTTCATAGTTCATTGAAAAAAAAACATTTACAGGAATATACTGGAAACACCTTTCAGTTATTTACAGTGTTCATTTGTGTTGTTTAATAAGGAGACCGGGGATGGTTGTAGCATGGGTCAGTTGTAACACTTTCATTTTCTCCTGTCAGGAACAAGTTACAAATCATGTGATTTACTTTCTGCATTATAGCCCATAGGAAAAAGTAACACCCTACAGCAGATATGCAAGTTTAGGGGATAATGTTTAAGCTTTTTGATTTTATTCTTGTTCGTGGTTCCAAGAGTCTGGGTTAATTTTATCAACCATAAAAATGCTCAAATGTGCACCCTCTGTATTGTACATACACTGCATTGCTAAATTATTTCACCACTTAAAATTTCCCACATTTTTCCACATTTTGCATTCTTTATGAAAGAAAACTAACACTGCACATCACCCTGAATACACCATTCCCAAAGTGATACAAGTTGTTGGCAGCTTCATACAGTGGAGATCAAACTTGATGAAAAGACAAATGGAACTAAATACTGGGCAACCCTGGAAGAGAACCTGTCAGAGGCTGCAAAAGACTCAAGACTGGGCCGCAGGTTCACCTTGCCGCAGGACTAATACCCTAAACATAGAGCCAGAGCTACAAAGCGATTTAGATCAAAGCATGTTCATGTTTTAGAATCCCTAGAATTTGTGGTAATAGTTTTAAATTGCTCTTTATAGAGGCTTCCCTCAGTCTGACTGAGCTTGACCTTATTTGGAGATGAATTCGCAAAATTCTACTCTGCAGTTTAGCAAAGCCGGTAGAGGCATACCTCGAAGTCTTCAAACAGGTGTATCTACAAAGTATTGAGTCAGGGGGTTGAATGCATATGTATGCCTACTTTCTTCAGATTTTTATTTGTGCATCACAAGAATGTGTGATGTTGTGTAAGTATTTTACATGAAATTCAAGTACGTTGAAGACTGTGGTTGGAGTGTGACAGAATCTGAAAAAGTTAAAGAGCAGTCAATTATTTTGCAAGGTACTGTAAGTTGAAGCCAAAAAAAAAACCCTGGGTTCAGCATATGACTTGTAGTCTGGCCCCATGAGGCCTTTGTTGCAGGAGGTACACACTTGCCTGACCAGTGCAACTTCAAGTGCAAAATAAGACAAGCAAAAACACACTCCAATTTTCCATTGTTACCATTTGTACATTTATTATTAGGTCTGTGTTCAGAGATCATACTGGCTTCACAGATACACATATCTTTTGGTGGCAGCCTAATACTGTGGAGATAAAAACATTTCCAGTATCAGAACTTTAATAGAATCCTTCTTTCATTCTGTTACATCTTATGGTATTTTACGTAACCCAACTTTGACTAACCCCGTTTGAGACTAAACTATGCAGATGTTCTGTTTGTCCCTGAGATAATTGCTAAACCATTTAATAGCAGGCACATGTAACTAGTGCGAATCATATTTTAAATATTCTGACCATTAACAACTCCAGGTTACATAAACAAATGTCACTAATGTTGAACTATCCCCGGTCTCCCAAACGTCACTTTTCTGTGTGAATTCATTTGTTGTTGTTGTATTATTTTTGTGTATATATGTCTGTCTGTGCCCTTCACCAGACGCCCCCACCACCCTGCCTCCATCCACCACACCCCCCCTACATCCCATCCCTCCAGATCCTACTGTTCAGTTAAGCACCCACGCCTCAGATCTCACAGTCACTGGCAGCAGAGGTACAGTAACACCCCACACATCTCCACAACCTGCTCAGCATGACACTTTATATTTCCCTTTTCTTCTTTACACTTGCATCTTCTTCTCTTCCTGTTCAAGTTTTTGCCTTAATACTTTTTCTCACCTCTTAGACATTTTTAGTCTTATAAAGTTTCAAACAAGATGTATGCTTTTAATCAACAGTGATACATGCACATAACATTAACATACTACATCTACTTTCCATGTGGTATTTCAAAGAGTGGAGTGCTTCTGGACCTTAAAGCATCAAAACAACAGATTTTAAGTGAGATGGGGTGGAATACTGTTAGGGTGTTTCTTTCTGGAAAACGTAAAAATCTCTAAATCCTGCTTTAGACCAAATAAAAACTGCCCCCCAGTATCCACAGCCTTCATGATTATTTGAATGCAGCTGGATTGGGGAAAATCAGGAAAACCTAATTCCAGTACAAAGACAATCATGGTATTAGTGCAATCACAGTATTGGCCTAATAGTTTTTTCACAGCTGCCTTCAGAGCCATCAGTGCTACTACCACTGATAATAACATCTGCTGAATTTCCTATAAAGATAGGTTTCTGCACCTCCATCATCAGTTTCATTCTCTTTGTAGCGGAAAAAACATTAGAGAGGAGGCGAATAGTAAAGTACAGCAGAGAACCAAGCATGCCTTCATGCTCAGTAATTTTATTCTTGCTCTGTGCGATGTGTGCATATCTCGGGAACAATCAGCAAGAATCATCCACACAAGGATTGTATGTAAATCGTAAATGATAGAACTTATATCGTGACTTTCCAGTCATTCGACCACTCAAAATGCTTTATACTAGAGCCACATTCACCCAATCGCACTCACTACACGCACACATTCATACACTGATAGGCAGATTGGCAGACAACTTCAGGGTTATGTGCCTTCCCCAGGGTCACATCATCATCTGGCAAGAGGAAGCTGGAATTGAACCCACAACTTTCGAGTTGTAAGACGACTACTCTTCCCACTAAGCCACAGTCCCACTGAGCCACAGTCAGTGATCAATTTAATATTTATTGATCATTGTGAGCTGATGACACCAAGCACATGAAAATGTATGTTGCAATTATTGTATACTTGTATTATAAACTCCATGATGCACTGCTTGTGTTTCTTTCTGCTTTTCCAGAGGTACATTTTGCATTTCAACTGCAACCTAAAAATCTCACAACTTTCTGTGGTTAACCAGTTTATGTGCAGTTTGGAGGAGTGTGTGCTTCTCCACAGCTTTAAGATGAATTTCTAAGTGCAAGGTCGCTGAAGTGATGGTTCTATATTAAATGGTGTTGAGGTTGTGAATTGTAAGATTCTCCAAGACTAAGAAGACCTCTTAAAGACTTAACATTCATATTCCGGCTTTTTTTTTATGTTGTGGTGTGGTCTCAGTCTTGCACAAAGAGCCCCTTATGGGAAATTCCAGCTAATCACTATTTACAAGATTGTTCATTCAAGAGCATACCCATATTTCTGATCTCTTGAGGTAGAATTTCAGGGATATATGCACCTGTTTGTTTGCTCTTACTCTTAAGAAATTGGCAGAAAGTTGTCTTTACTGTCAGCATTTACTAAACAAGGTATTGGTGATATTTAGCTCTCTTTTGCCTTTTTTAGCTACAGTATATACAGTCATATTCAATAAATTAGAATATTATTGAAAAGTTTAATTATTTTAGTAGCCTTCCAAACAATACACATTATATAGAATAATTGCACACTGACGCACACTTTCAAGCCTTTAGTTATGTTAATTGTGCTGATTTTGTGCTTACAACTAATGAAAACACAACATTTAAGATTAAAACATTACAACAGGCCAATAAAAAATCGGAACGCATATTATAATTTTTTGAATATGACTTTATTTTCTTGTTTTCCATTTGACTTGATCCCCCTTTTCAGAACGTAAAACCGTTTGTACTAAAATGAGTTTCAAGTCTTCCAAAAAGTCTAATGAAACAGTTATGCATTTAAAGGAGCCATCCGAGATATTTTGGGTACCTAAGCAAGATCCCTGCTGGAAGCCCCCTAATGGACCCTCTAGAAGAAGCTGGAAGACATGACTGGGAAGTGGGACGTTTTGGCATTTGCTGCAACCGAAATAAATTGTAATAAATAAGGAACAGGAAAGGATATTGAAAAATGCCTGTGAGGATATCACTCCTTCAACCAACTGCTAAAGCAAGTGTTGACATGAAACAGAGGCTGCAACGGAGGTATAGATTTAAAAGTCTTCTTACTAATTTTATTTTGTTCATGATTTTTAAGCCTTTTTAGACGAGTTTTACTGAGAATGTAAACTGAAGACATATAATGATACATAAGATATTTTTAACATTCCTGTAACAATTTTTTTCACAAAACATTCAGTTGAATGTCTTAAAGGCTAAAGACACTAATCATTTCCCTTTTTGCAGGGCTCCTAAAAAGATAGGTTCAAGATGTATTTTTTCCCACCATAGATATAATTAAGATTACCCTCACTCTACCCTGACTTTGGCTGTTCCATATCCCCAATCTCAGAATTATTTTTACTCTATCGCTCATCCTTTCTGTAAATTACCATCTTATAAGTCTCACAGGACACTTGAGTCCCCCTCCACATTTCCTCTAGTTTTTCCTTTGTTTCAGCTTTCACTGTTCTCTCCTCTGTCTACCATTCATCTCTCTGAAGATCTTCTTTGATAACTGGCTTCCGACACAATGTTGGATGTTCATCACCGGTGTGCTTTGGTTTCTTCTCTGATGTCTGGTTAGGTAGTTCAGGGACACAAGGAATGTTGAGCTTTTCCGTTGTATCTTGTGGAAATCTACATATCGGAATTCTTTACTGCATTCTCAGTCACAGGATACCACCCTTTTTGTTTTCAGGTGTCTACTTGATTTATTACCACTTCCTTTTACAGCCTTGGGATGAAAGCAAATGTCTGAGGAGCTATACAAACCCCCATGATGTTTTGTCTTTTTAATAAAGTCAACTGCCTGTGCGGAGAAAATACACATTTTGGCTTCAGCTCTATTGGCTCTATGCAAAATATTAGCATATTATGACAAGCCCTTTTAGGAGTGTCAGTTACATTTTAGTGCCCTACCTAAACAACTCTTGTTTTTTTAACAAAAAGTACAAGATGACCCAAACTGAAAATGAAACATTTTTGCATCAAAAGAATTTAAAGAAATCAAAAGCTCCCGATCAGAATGCACTATTTTTACTTCAATCTACGACTTATAGGTAAACTGTTGGAAAATGTCTTGAGTATTTGTAGTTACTTGACAGATATACTTACCTTCAACTGTTTGTTTTCCAGCAGTGTTGCTTAATTTAAATCGTAAATGATTAATCTTTACTGTCAAATGTACACGGTGGTAAATTAACATTTAGGAAAATTGTGTTTTTACTACACACACTTAATAGCTCAATTGCAGCACTAAATTAGTTAATTTTAGACATATTAATAGATGTGAATTGTTTCTTTATGTAAATACATTATTGCATTAGTTTTTTTATAAGTGTTTCTAAATAACTAAATTTGAAACTGACATAAAGCTCTTTAAGACAGAATCTTAGATCACAGTGTTAGCCTTACGTGGCCCTTTATTTAAAGCCACTGTAGGTTGTAGTAGGTTATAGGTTGTAGGTTGAAGTATTGCAATCTTTTAAGAAGCCTATATGCCTCACTTGTAAATGCCCATTTTTACAGAAGATATATGATATTTTTGTGTGCTTTTTAAGAAAGGACAGACATTAAAATCCTATCTCAGAAAATCCAGGGCTTGAGTCTAAGTTTAGGATTTTCAGACTTTCAGATTAATCCAGTTCATTCCTGTACAATACACATATAGTCTAACCGTTAAACTATATGATTGTGTTTTTTGTGTTGATTTGGACTGCCTTGAATTGCAGTTGGACCAAACTGGATTCAGTAATACTGCATTTGAATGGCAAAAGACATTTGTTTTAATTTTGGGTGCTGTAAATACATGGAATTAAATTTAACTAGAGGAAAACAGAACTTGCATAACACGCATGAGAAGGCTAATGAACGGAAACTGTAAATGGTTAATAGTAAAGGAAGGAGCCAGATGCAGACTGATAGAAAAAAAGTCAATATGCAAATAAACAATAATAATTAATTGATCCAACTGCAAGACATGGACTGATAGCATTACACAAGCTAAAGACCAGACATAAAGAAAAATGCTGGCCCCCTCACTTTTCATCGTCCTCCTTTAACCACTTTTGTTTAAAACATTACGGTTCTACAAACCTGAACACAACTGAAAAGTAAATTTGTAAAATCAAGTTGTATATCATTTAGGTTCTGGGGGATAAGATTTAGGGTAGCAAGGTCAAAACACAGCTTAACAGCCCAATGTAGCTGTTTGTATCAAGACCAATAGAACTGAATCTAATAAATGTACAAACTTTTAATGTAAGCATGTCAGTATAATTTGAAAGTAGTATTTTTAAATATCTGCTTTTGCTGACACTCTGATTGTCAGAATTATTTATGTTTAATTTATTTTTAATTTAATGAATATTTTAATTCTCTTCTGTTGAACTCTAATGAATGCATTTTAAAATGTAGGATCATTTTACATTTATAAAAACTGTGCCATATTCCACAAATTCTAATTCCTCTTGACCAAGTTTGTCTTTTAGTTTGAAAGACACACATCTAATCATCAGAACTGTATCCTGCAAGGACTGATGTATAGCTGCAGGATGTGATTCACTTTAATAATGAGATGCTGGCAGGTATGGCCAAGACTCACACTCCTTCAATAGCCCAGCCAGCCTTAATAGGTATAATAGCTCTTGCTCTAAGTATCAAGTCCATGTAGTATAATCAGACCTTCCCCAAAGGTTGAATCACGTACAAGGGTTTCTCTTGTGTTTAAAATATTTACCATTCACTTCCCATAATCTGCATTCGCGTGGCCAACCTCGGCTCTGTAGCTCTTTATTGCTTTGGAAAAAGGACCAACTACCGAGAAGGCAGCAATTATTAATGCCCCAATGTCTGGGCCTGTGGAGAAGAAGGGAAAAACCTAAAATAATACCCAGCTAAAGCCTTGCAGAGTTAAAGTTCTATTTTCTGAGCCCAGTGGTTGTTCCCCAAGAGGAGCTCAAGTTAAAAATATAAAAACTGGAATAGGCTACCAAAGTTTTCTATTAAGCATCATGCCTTTTATTAAAGGTAATCCAAAACACTAAACATAGGTAACAGTCCCGCTTCTACTAAAGCTGAAATGAATAAGGACACACTCAAGGCAGATTCAGGAGGATACCCAAGGGATCAGTAAGGGTTCGATAGTTAGGACTAGCCCCTGAGCTTTCTTGCTTTTTTAAGGGAAAGAGATAGATAGATAGATAGATAGATAGATAGATAGATAGATAGATAGATAGAGAGAGAGAGAGAGACAGAGAGACAGAGAGAGAGAGAGAGAGAGAGAGAGAGATAGATAGATAGATAGATAGATAGATAGATAGATAGATAGATAGATAGATAGATAGATAGATAGATAGATAGATAGATAGATAGATAGATAGATAGATAGATAGATAGATAGATAGATAGATATTGAAAACCTATAAAAAAAAACATTCACCATCCCTGGTAAAAATATGGGAAAAAAATCTTAAACTAAATGCATATTTTATTTCATTAACAGAATCTCACACAAACAAAAATAAAAATCCAACCAGTAACGTGAGTAAATTTAATAAATAATTTTAGCTGAAGCTGTTTTACTCTAATATATTATTATTTTAAGTTAATCAGTGTCTTGTAAGTTTCATTTGGTAATCCATAACATCCTGTTGCCTAAGAGGATAAATCTGAATGTGATCTCTGCTCCAGTTTCTCTTTGCCAAAACTGATAGGCTGATAGGCAAAAGAAAACATACAATTAAAGAAATCTTTGCATTACTTTTCCTAAGTCAGTTAATGGCTGCAAGAAAATAGCTACTTACCTCAGCTTATC